TTTTTTTTTTTTTTTTTTTTTTTTTTTTTTTTTTTACAGGTGCAATACTTTTAACAATTTTTTCGTTAAAAATTTTTTTGCAGAAATGATTGAACAATAGCAATAATTTTTTTTTTCTTTTTTTTTTTGCATTTTTTGCTATCTACAAAAAATCTTTCTCTTTTTATTTTTTTCAATTTTCTTTTGTGCATTAAAAACAATTAAGACTTATTTTTATCAAAAGATCAAAACAAAAATGGGGAATACTAAAAGATTCATCATTTTTATTTCTTTATTTTTTCCTCACTTTTTAATCTTTTAAAGCCTTTTTTTCAATTTTAAACTTACTGACACTGTCGAATAAGCAAAAAATTCTTTTTATAATCAATTTAATAAATATAACCAATTTTTAAAAGCAGACTGAATTTTATAAACTCTTTTTAGATGATATAAACACTTAACAAATATGTCTTCATAAGGAAGCCAACGTTTTTGTTCTTTTTTGACAAATTTGAACACATATTGAAAATCTAACATTTCTTTTTGTAGGTATTCGTTCTTCTGTAATATTCAAAATCATCATTTCTTTCTTTTTTTTTCGTCCTGTTAGCTCATACTTTTACCCTTGAAAATTGAAAAGAAACTTCTACGCTTTTGAAAATTTGAATTTGCCTGCATTTTCAAACAATTAAAAAAAATGAAGGAATAAATAAATAAACCCCAAAATTGAGTAAAAAGAAGAAAATAATGCGAGCTGAACAAAAATAAAGCGAGAATTGCTTTTCTTTTGCTAAAAAAAAATCAAAATAAATTTTTATTAAACCTTTTTGTGCAAGAAAAACGGAAATTTTTCACGGGAAGGCACGTTAACTTTTTTTTGATGATATAAACACCTAGCAAATATGTTGAATGAACAGTTTGAGAAAAAATCACAAATTACAAAACTTTTTTCTCATTTATTAAAAGCTTTTTCAAAATGAAAACTGAACAATCAGAAGTTTAGTTTTCTAAAAAAGAATATCTTTTAATTTAAAAGAATAGTTTTTAAAGGTAAGCCAAGCAGTCTTTGCATTTTTTCTTGCAATAATTACGGTCAATTTGCTTACAGACAAAATTTACTGTTATCACGACATATTTCAATTCTTTTCCCTGAAGCAAAAAATTTGATAACACCAAATGGCATCAACAAACGAAATGGATAATAGAAATGCACATATTGCATGCGAAAGATGTAAACCAAACAGTCAAACTTTTTTTTATTTGTTTTTTTTTTTGTACTTAAAACTAGTTTGGCGTTAAATTGCTGTTCTCATACAACTTGAAAGTTGAAGTGCTAAAAAATTTGAAAGAAATTTTTTTGAAAAATCACTGAGAAAAAAAGACAAAAAAAATTCTGTTTAAGTGAAGAAAAAAAGTGCATTTTTTGTGACTAAGATAATTTTATTCATTCGTTCTTTTCTCACAACATCATTTCTTCAAAATTTGAAACTGCAAAATAAAAAAAATTGAAAATAAAGAAGTAAAATAGCGAAAAAACAAAGTCACGAATTCCTCTGCGCAAATAAATTTCAAAAAAATTTCTCCTTGAAGTGCTAATTTTTACAGTTCATTTTACAAAAATAACTGTGGAAATTAGATTAAGGTTAAATATAAAAAAATAAAAATTGTTTCAACAAGTGTTTGGTTTAACACTGATATAATTTTAAAAAGAAGATGATAACAACAGTTATATTAGTAATAACAATATTTTTGCCATTATTATCGTTATTGTTATTATTATCAATGTTATTGCTATTGTTGTTGTCATTGTTGTTAC